CACTGTCATAAAGGTAAATGAACAGCTGATAAGCAGAAGCTTGGCATGAGTGTCCGTAACAGTGCTGCCAACGTGACACAAACAACAGAATTCTAAACCGATAAGCCCGCGAGGTTTAAATTAAAAATTCCGGTTATTTTTTATCATGGTAGTATATGATGTTTTTTTTACAATATTTTATATGTATTTCCATTTACTTTACCATAATAATACACATATTTCAAGTAACTACGTTTTGCACATCTAAGCAAAACAAAACTTTCAAAAACTACTAAATAAATAAAAAAACTTGGAAATAAATATACGTAAGTAATAATGTGTGTAGGCAACTTCAAGATTTTTTAAAAAATATAAAGACGTTGATAATGACTGTTTGAAGCAATTACGGATGCTGATGTGTATATTGGTTGAATTAGTTTATTGAAAACAAGGTATAAAACGTTTTTGATATTAGGATTAAATCTTTTTTAATATAAATCTACAAAACAATAAATTTAATATAGAAATTCGCAAGGATAATACAATAATGTTGTTGAAAAAACTTACAAACAATGTAGTAATGGTCATCACATGAGTTTCGAATTAAATGTTCATGATGTAGAAACAAAACTTGACTACCACTTTACATGGTAACATAGCGACTGAAAGAACGGAACAAATGTGTGTCGTTTTAAATAGAAGTCAAAGCTACAATCAACGATTGTAAGACACAGTTTAGTCAACGTGTGTTATCAACAAATGGTAAGTAAAATCTGTCTAGATTTTCGGTGTTACTATGCAAATTAAGATGGCTTTGAATTCTTATGTATAGAGTTTCTGATATCAGACGTTTATTATAAGATCTCTCATTGTCTAATATTTTTACGCTGTTTCAATCAAATTCATGAGAGTATTGGATTCTGTGATCACTGATCTTTGAGAGGAGTTTCTATTAATATGGTTTTTATGTTTTTTTATTCTCGCTTGCAACATTCTGCCAGTCCGACATATGATGCATACAATATATATCACGGCAATTTATTTTATATACAACAGAAGGACGTGTGGATGGAGGATCTTTAAGAACATTAATAAATCTAGACAATTTGTCAATACTATAAAAGTCTGAGCGTGTATTAATGTCTTTTGGAAATACTTTTGAAAATTTTTCAGAAAAATTTTTTATATAAGGCATTACAAAGCTGCACATAATTTGAAGTATTGTTTGACAAAAACCTCTAAGTTATTATTTAAAAAAAAATTATGTTTTAGTCTCTGTTTNAAAATGTTATAAATAAAGTTACGAGGATTATTGTTGTCAATTAAAATATTAAAAATCAAGTCAAAATTCTTTGAATGGAGTTTAGGATGTGATAAAAAGAAGGCTCTAAACAAATTGTCTAGATTTATTAATGTTNTTAAGGATCCTCCATCCACACGTCCTTCTGTTGTATATAAAATAAATTGCCGTGATATATATTGTAATGCATCATATGT